CACAGACAACCCCTCGTCAATATGCGTTTTCTGCATTGCATAGCTGCAAAAAACGCATAAAAACTTGTAACTCGATAGCCAGAAAAGTCAATTGCTGGGAGTTTCCGTATATTATTCGGGAGTGAAAAACAAAAGATCTGCTTCCAAAATTTGCTACATCTCTGGCGGTATCAAGTCCAAATTTACAAATTCCCATTCCCATAAAAGCTTATAGGATCGTGACGACTTTTTTGCCTGTTGGGTTGTGCCGACTCCAAAAATGCATGATCATGCCGACCTCTTGGGCCATTGCTTTTTGAACCATAAACACGAAATTACTTAGAAATACATTCCTAACAGTACTTTATTATTTTTCAGATATGATGAATATGGGAAAACAACGAACAATAATTCGGAAAATTACTAACGTTGCACCGACACGTTTCAGCAACAAAAATGCAGGAGTGAACTGATAACGGACAAAACGTGTCGCACTCGTCTCTTCACATGATACTACGGCTCCTTCTTCACCTTCTAGTTCATCATCTGAAAATTTCAAAACTGTGTGGAAATCGTGTGGAAATTTCACATCTTCAATGAACTGCTAGATTAACAAAAAACAGAAGAAAAAAAAAGATCTTATGAGAGGTGAAATGAAAGCTGATTATGTTTGTAATGATCTGTTGACAAGCCGTATCTAACGGAGACGAAAGCCTTAGTGACAGCTTTAATAAAACAGGGTGCCAGTGTTACGCAAATCTCACCAGGTGCGGGTTTGGCGATCTCGAATAATACTTGATCCGTGTCCAAATCGCGAATTTTAAACCTTGTAAATTCGATACCAAATGTGTTTGCTTCTGGTTCACATAAATAATCTAAAAATCAAGTAATTTTTGGAAAACAGTCCACGTAGGACCACCAGAAAAAAAAATTTAGCCAGACAGTCATCTAGTTTTACAAAACAAACGTACTATTTTTGCAGTTTTTCAAATCCCTTTACCTGTTTGGTAAAAGTTGCATTGGAAACGTTCAAAAAATCGGAGATCTTCCGCAACCACTGTCTAGTACCACTTCGCATGAAGGTGAAGTTGCTAAGAAGTAAACTCCGGGCAAAATGTCCTGTACTTGTTTGTCATCGAAACGAATTTGTAGAGGAAGTGACTGTGCTAAGGTGAAGACAAGCCTACAAAGGAAATGCTGTTTGCCAACCAGCTACGATTGTCAGAAAATGCATTAATAAATTAAAAAGAGACCATCGGTAATTTTATTGAGTCGTAAGACATCTTCGGGCGCAATCACTGGTCTTGACCGTAGCTCTGCTTCTGTCAACGGTTCACGGATCCGATTATCGGCTGTAGTCGATGAAGGACATCGACGCGGTCCCGGCATAACACGCTCCAGGATTACTGATCTAAAAAAACAAATAAAACCCGCGAGAAGGAAACTGCCCATTCGGACGACGTTCGAAATGATGATGCATAAGTATAAAATGTAGAAATGCAGCACAGGATAGGAGGGTTTGGTATAGTCTTTTTTACTGAATATGCTGTTACATAGAAGCAGTACTGAAAGCTTCAAAGTGATTTCTCTAAAAATTCCGGCAAGGTAATTCAATTTAACTTAGACATATTACACTGATGAAAGATGAATGAATTGCAGAAGTGCCTGGCAGAACTGCTAAAGCCGTAGCTTACCGACAACCTTTCTATGCAGCCAAATTGTTTTGAATAGAAACTTATTTTGAAAAGGGCTATAGACCGGAAAGGAATCGAAACTCCTTCTAATCATGATATTTTATCCATTACACTACTGGACCTCGTATTCACAACAGTAACTGTGTGCCACTCGTATACCACTCCGTACTGTCTAACGTTGTTATCACACATATCATTACATTTCATCAATTCTTGCTGTCTTTTTGCGGGAATTCTATCCTAAAAGGCGAAATGGCTAACTTCCCCGCCGGCGGATTTAAGCCGGAATGGCTAACTCAATAGGTACACTTGTACAATACGCTTAAGCCAACAAAACTGATGTATGCGAAAAAAAAACGGTCCTAAATGGCACAGAAAAGTGTGTTATAGTTCCGCTGAAAGGCAATGAAGAAAAAAAGAATTCAAACTCATCACTGCTAAGCCAACACATGGGATAATTTACATTTCGTTATCCAGGCTATAAGCAGAGCTGTAGGCAAGGCAACAGGCACAGAAGCAGCTGTGTCGCATGTCCATACGCCCTCTCCAAACACGCCGAACTAAGACCTCTTGTTTGAAATGCAAAATGAAACTTTGCAAAGTTGCTGTTTCTGCACATGCGCTCCAAATGTTTCAAATTCAGCTATCACGCACGCTTACATCATACGTACGGGTATGTCAAACTTCGCCGTTGGCCCAGTGCCAGATTGCGAACTAGCCAAAAAAAGAG